ATTCAGTGTTTTATTTTGCTTTTTTCGGCTTCGGTTCGTTCGGGGTTTTCTAACTCTTTTTGGAGTTGGGAAATTTCCTCTTGGATCGGGGTTTTATTCATAAAAATATTTAACAGCAACATTTAGCCAGCAGGCCGTCAGTAAAAGTTTGGACTTGAAAATATTCATCAATATCGGGGAAATAAACCATTTTTCCTTCGAAAAGAATTTCGTATCTTTTTAGTTGTTCGTCTTTAATATCTCTTAATCATTTAAATCAAGCCAACGGAATACTTAATTCTCGGCCGTCATCTAATTCGGCTGTTAACTTTTCTTTATTTCCCCAACAGTTAATTATTTTCGGATGAGCATGATATTTTATCAAAAACGAACTTTCTTCCCCCTTCCTGTTTTTTCTTAGTTGAATATTTTCGTTTGGTAAATTTTCTCTTCTCATTATTTTCTAATATATTAGATTTTATTTTTTCCCTTCTCGTAGTCTTTTTCATGTTCTATAAAAGAAAGACCTCTTCTTCTCCACAATCCCTAATATTTCTCCTTTTTCAGAAGCATCAAAACCATAGCAATGATGAAAATTTACTTCTCTTAATCAGACTTTTGCTCGGTCTCGACTTCCATGTCTCCTTTTCACATGAATATGCGGAGGTTCATCACTTAAAATATCATCGGCAGTGTGAAAAAAACGAAATCCTCCCTCGTCATGGACAGTCGGCATCATTTCGTAAATTCTTTCATTTTCTTCACGGCTCCCACCATAATCAATAAAAGAAGGAGCAGGAGCATAAGCATTTAAAGTCTCTGGTTCCTGGTTATCTTTACCTATTAAAAAACCAAAATCGCACTCATCATTACTACACCAAAACAAATTTTCTTTTAATTTTTTTCCACACCGGGGACATTTTTTCATAAATTAATTTTCTTTACTATAATTCTATCTCTCCTTCCCCTTCTCCCTCGGGTTCTCAATATTCTTCTTCACTCTCTTCCTCATCTTCTTGTTCGTCCTCTTGCTCTTGCTCGTCTTCAATTTCGTCCTCGATTTCCTCCTCGGGTTCGGGTTCCTCCTCTTCCTCTCATTCGGTTTCAGACTCTTCTTCCAATTCTCCTGTCAGGTCTCCGATTTCTCCCTCAGGTTCCTCCATTTCCAAGTTATCTATATCAATTTCCTCCTCGATGGGCTGCTCGGTTTCTTCTTCTCGGGTTTCTAATTCTACGGGGTCGATTTCATTAGTATGGGTTTTGATTTCCTTATATTCTCGACGAGTAAATTTCCCGTGAACTCTCACTGATAAATTAGTGCCGTTTAGTTTGATAGTTAACTTGTCTCCTTTTTGTCCCGTGTCTAAACTGCCCGAACTATTATAACCGATTATTTGTTGAGTATAGGAACCCATAGGAATATCAATCGTAGCCGTGTAATCCTTATTGTGTCAGAAATATCAGTATTTATCACTAGCAGACTTTTTAAGAGCATCCGATGGCAAGGCTTTAATGGCTTGCTCTAAATAATTAATGCCTGTGGCTTCGTTCTCTACTCGGCTAATTTTTTTAATATAAACGGAGGTGCTTGCCGGAATTACTGTATCTCCTCCCGTATTTTCTTGGCCTTCGTAATGTTCTTCGATTTCTATGATTTCGGCTTCGGTGATATCCCAAGCATTCGAGCCTAATTCCAAGTAATTAGGGGCTTTTTCATATTTGAAATCGGGTTGCTCAAACTTTTCTCCTCCCGTTAGTCAAAAACCTTTATTCATGAGGTTAGTAAAGAAATTATC